ACCGGGTGGCTACGGAAGTATTGCCTACGGAATATCTCAGTTATTGTATGAAGTAGGTTTGTGAAATTCGCAGCGTCGATATAATGATATAAGAGCTAGAATTTGAGCATATTGAATGTCGAAGTTAACTTCCGGTCTGACCGGAAGTATCATCAACTTTCTTATTTTAAATGGAAACCCTATTTTTTTTTCCTTTTCGTTTTATTCAGCGTTCAATTCCCTTTCTGATGACATATCACAAGTTGGTATCTAACCAGAAACTAGATCAGAAAAAAATTATTATTGAAATTCACCGAGTAGAAGAATAATAATTGGATTTTTTGGTATTTCATTTCAAAAAATGACTTTCTATTATATCATTAGAAGGGATTGGTTATGCTGAATAGTACATGCAAGAAAAAGTTGTATGTTCCTATTCAAGTTATGGACCTACAGAGTATTGTTTTTTCCCCGATTTTTCCAATATTTTTTTGGCGGCTTTTCATAACGCCGACGAATGAAAATAAAATATCACAGTAGTAGCAACTGTTATCAAGTGATGTATGGTTTCCATAGCCAACTTTTCAATTTTTGGCTTTCATTTTGCTTCCACGGCCTACTCGGTGAATTTCAATAATAATTTTTTTCTGATCTAGTTTCTGGTTAGATACCAACTTGTAATATGTCATTAGAAAGGGAATTGAATGCTGAATAAAGCGAAAAGAAAAAAAACAGGGTTTCCATTTAAAATAAGAAAGTTGATGTTACTTCCGGTCAGACCGGAAGTTAATTTCGACATGTCAATATGCTCAAATTCTAGCTCTTATGTCATTATATCGACATTCCAAATCTCACAAACCTACTTCATACAATAACTGAGATATTCCGTAGGCAATACTTCCGTAGCCACCCGGTATACCATTATTGTTGTGTCTTATTCAGTAATACAAAGCATAGGATTTTTTTCAGGAAATTATAACATTTCAGCGAAAATGTATCAAGTACGCTTCTTATGAGAAATTCCTCTCCTGTTGCAAATTCAATTTCCAGCGCGAAATGTCAAATCACTTCGTGTCAAATAAGACTATCAATCTTCTAGTGTCTCCCACGTCTATTCTTATGTCACGGTATGTGAACGGTATGTCTGATGGCAAAAATCGCTGCAATCCTGACGTCTGGAAAATTATTATCTTTCGGTCGGTAACCTTCATTTCAATTTACTGAAGGTGTAAAGAAACCTCAAAGTTTACGTTATTACTCAAACTACCTTCATGCAGGAAACGCTTTATTCCGTCGAACTTCAACATGGCAAATTCTGTTTTATCTCCAGAAAATGTTGAGAATATCGCTTGTTCCCGCATTTTATGTGTCGTACCTACCTGAATGAAAGAGAATGTCTTTCATAATCATAACAAAGAAAAGGCAGTAACAAATGTTATGGGCACAATATCCTCTCTTGCAAAGTTTAGTAGCGCTTCATTGATGAGGTTTATACGACCATAATACTGAATAGAAAATTGAAATATCAGCTTTTATGAAGCATTTTCATATGTATTCTTGTTCAAGGAAAACTAAATAATCTTGATTCTACTCCAATGGTCAATGACTGAAATGAATGAATCCATCTTGAAATTCACGCAAATAATGATTGAATCAGAACTAAGTTTATTTGGACGAATGAATGAGTGAATCATTTATATCAGTTGAATTGTTCATTCAAGCCTTGAGAGAGACAGAGAGTTTAACATTTAAGACTTAAGATTCTTATAAGTGGATTCAGTTATAAAAACAATCAAGATTCTAGGACGATACATGTCTTCTGTCATTACTGACACCTAGTTTCTGAAACAGAACCAGATTCTCAAAGTTTATTAAGTTAGAAACTGGTTGGAAATCAAAATTTCATGTTCTGATTCTATTAATTTATATCCCTGAAATGATACCCATATATATTATATCTCCACGTTATTTTGAAAGTAATCAGTATTCCTTGCCTAACAAAAACAGGCTCACTTCTTGGATCTTTTGCCAAATATGGAAGCAACAGAGTCAAGGTGACATTCTAGTGTATTTTTGGAAAACGGTTCAGTATCCATAGTTTTTATTAGAAGAAAAACAAATATTCCGGAATAACAACCCAAGATATTTTGAATGATTTTTGAATGGAGGGGAATCGATGTCACTTTTGGTTGCGCAGTCCTTATTTTATTCATGATTATTTATCAGCACTTCTTAAGTTGAAAGTTGGCCATCTTCACAAATCTTAAATGTTAAATCATAAGTCTTAAATGGTCTTATAACCAATTATATTTCCAAGTTCCATTTGTCATAAGTGATAAGCCTTAAATGTCAGGTGATAAATCTTAAGTCTTAAAGTTTCTATAAAGTGGCCCTAAGACATTTGTACATATTTTTTTGCTATTTACTTTTTAAAAATGTTTCTGCTTACCGATGGCTACTATTATATACTTACTTACACTTATACCGCGTCCAATTAAATCATCCAGGAAACCATCGAAATTCCCATATAAAATTTCAACCCAATCGGTTCAGCTGTTTTGAAATTATATGAAAAAGATATAAGTACAGAAGGATAGTTCTTGCTACCCGATGTCCGATTACACGTTTTCCCGTAAGAATGAAGCATTTTCCCGTGGTGAAAAGTAGCCTATGTTCATCAAGGATAATGTCGGCTTCGAATGGTAAAAGATTTTTTTCAATCGGTCCAGTAGTTTCGGAGCCTATTCATTACAAACAAATCATTCCTCTTTATAATATTAGTATAGATTATAGAAGACCCATGAATATACACTTCCGTAAACTTACTAGTGATCTAAGTGCCTATATTTCTAGTCATAGATCGACTGGGTTAGTTGACAAAATGATAAATTTAATGGGGCGTCCTGAAACGACTCACTAAATAGTAGGCACACTTTGTCTTCCGTGCTTTACGAATGTTATGCAAGACGCAAAAGCCCCCTCAACAAGAAGGAATCCATCAGACGAACGTGTACAGGTCAGAATTCAGATTCAATTAGTAGAGGAATCTCTGAAATTGGCTCAATGAATGATGTCACAGCAGGAATTCAGCAACTCCCGTTAGAGCTTGGGTCGCCCTAAAAGCTGTCGACTTCGTGTATTGCTAATGGAGCATATAATCGCCCCCTCAATGGCTAATTTTAGGGACCTTTGTTATTCCAGGTATAAGGTATTATTTGACTTTGGCCTATAGACACATTGAAGTTGAAGTAGAAATATAATCATGTGTGATACGTTGAACGTATTATGGGCCTGGGGCCTGGGGTAGGTAATTATTTAATGTTTATACTGAGTTTGTATCCATAATGCATGAGCGCCATTTAGGGGGCAGGGGGGGCATTTGCTCCCCCCTGGCTTTCTACAAAAAATAATTTCACAATGAATCTTCCTTTATCAATGACACAAAAGGAAACAGATCAGTAATTTGAATTGATAAATATCTATCATTTTGTAATGTTCGATATGCCATCAGGCAGTATAATACACTACACTGTTTTACCAGTAACCAAACCGATTTTTTGAACGGCTCGACACCATGTTTCGCTAACTATGTTAGCATCTTCAGGAGAAGATTGAAACATATAGGCAGTATAATAATAGGTATCAAACACAAAAGTTACCTAAATAGGGAAATAAATATCAGAATTTCGATAATAATTAACTGGCGCCTTCAGCCATTTGAAAACATCAAGAGGAGCGCTATTATAACAGTTTTTTTCTATCTAGAATATAGTTACTTCCACGGACAATTGACTGATAGTTTTTGAATGGAATGAAAGATATGAAAATTGAAAATATTGAAATGAATTAGAGAATTTGTGAATAATTTCGCAAAATTCAGAAATGAGTCAGTATCCCTTGCTTGATGAATGCTACTCAACATAAAATTTACATTATTTCAACCTGATTCAGATATTTCTCGATTTATTCATATTCATTTGAAGTTCCTTTCGCTTTTTCGTTATCAAAATAGGTACTTCTAAGTATACACTCTAGAACATTCATTTGAGTGACTGCATATATGAGAACGTTTACAACAAATTTGTTTGAATGGGCTGATGAATTATACCATCTTACACAGTCAAAGAGGGTGATATTTCAACTCAATCGGGCGTGGACCGAAATTGACTCATTATATTGCGTGTACCTTGAGTGGAATTTCACTCAATTTTTTTTTCAGTGTGAGTATTCAAAAGGTGTTATTTTCAGTAAATGGAGAAGGAGATCTGTTACTAATAATCAGTGACACTATATCCTTATTACACATATTGGTATTGAAATTATATTCAGATTTTCATTCAAAGAAACGAGGGGCGAAAATATTGAAGAATCCGGAAAAATTAACATTCACCACCTGGAAAATTATATTAGGAGGCAAGATTGGTTGAAGAACACTTTTTTCTGAGAATTTTCAGTCCTGAAAAAATCAATTTTTTCTCACTTTCCATGGGAGCACCCCCGTATCTTACGTAATTATTGAGGTAGGGCTTTGAAATTTGCAGGAGAAATAAAGAGTACATACCTAATACCTATATAGGTAAAGTCAATAACGTGTGATACTGGGGCGCTTCCACGAAAAGTGAGACAAAATTTGATTTTTGAGAACTGAAAATTCTCCAGGGAAAAGATGAACAGTTATTGAATAGGACGTCATGATTTCGAATCCGAAGTGATTTTCAACCTATCTTGCCTCCTAATAGTATGTGTATATCACTGAAGATGAGTCCACTTGGTCATAGTGTGTATTTTCGGTATATACCCCGCTCCTACAAATTTCAGAATTCTAACTCTACAATTACGAAATATACAGGGAGGGTGCTTCCATTATTAGAAACAAGACACACTGTATGTAAGTAATTCAAGAATATATAGTTTATTTGTTTTCTGTCACGAACCCATTGAAGGTATACAATATACATAAATAAAACGAAAAAAAAATATCTTGTTTGGTCCATATTATGTACTAAGTTTTTTTTTCTCAGAAATATTGGAGTCAGTGAAGAAGGGACCATCCAGCAACAACGGGACCCCTTTGAGACCCATTCTAGGGTCAGAAGATCAATACGAAGATGAAGTTGAACAATTAATGAACAGATGTTGGGCTGAAGATTCTGTAGACAGACCAGATTTTGCCACTCTAAAGAATAAGCTTCACCAGATGAACAAAAAGTGAGTTTTCTCTTCAATTTGTTTTGTGAAATTTCAAAAATAATTGCTTTATAAATATTGCGGGATAAAATGTCTCTAAGCTACGACGCGTCTGAACTGCTATCCTGAAATCTTATTTTTCACGAATTTTTGCCTAATTTACACTTGCAACTGTAAATTAGGCAGAAAAACTGTTGTCTATCCACACATCTCCTAATTTACTGTTGCAACTGTAAATGCTATCTTATATCAAATCTCAGGGACGAACCGAAAGAAAAAATTTTGGGGTGACAGTAAGAGGATTTCGCCAACTCATTTTCAAATTCTTCAATTTTCGTTTTTGACAAAAAATTACTCATCCTGTGTAGATCATTAAAAAATGTCTTCCTAAGACTCATTCAATTGACAAAATAGAACATACATGAAATAAAAAGTATTTAATGATAGATATTTAAACCAATAAAAATTTCGGTAATTTTGCACTTATCATGCGATGGGTTTTTTTTCGAAAATTTTTTTTGGTACTTACGTATTTTTGTCTGAAAAACACGAATTTGATAATGAAAATGTGAACAAACCATTATTTATTGAGATATTTCACTATAAAGTTACAAATTTCACCTTCTTTTCCGCCTGTATTTGGGGCGCATTTAGAACAATTTGTCCTTCTTTTTCCATCATTAGACAATTTATATATATCACACAATGTTGGACACATATTTTTTATTATATGAGTCAACTAGAAATATGATTTTCTTGTGATTTATCCATGTTTAGTGAAAAGAAGGAAGAATATCATTTGAAATAATGGCGTGTGTGATGTCATTCCAAAGCAATCTATTGACATTTGACATCTCCTATTTGGATTACCCATCGATTAAATGGCGGTCATCTGGTATGCTTGCTCACTAAATAGGAAAAACTCACCATAAAAATCATATTTCCTGTTGAATTTTCTAGCTTAAAATGTGTCATTGAAGTACATCATGAGTATATGAATTGTCCAATGACAAAATAAAAAGAGCAAGTACCTGTAAATGCATCCAACACAAGGGGGAAAATAAGGCAAAATTTCGAACTTTTTCCTGAAATATCTCGATAAATAGTGGTTTGTTCACATTTTCAATATCAAATTCGTGTTTTTCAGACAAAAATACGTAAGTACAAAAAAAAATTTTCGAAAAAAAACCCATCGCCTGATAAGTGCAAAATTACCAAAATTTCGCCAGTCGTATCCTCCTATTCTTCAAATGAACCCAACTTTCAATGATATACTGGGTGAGATCTAAGGAGTTAGTGACGTCACAAATTCTCAACTCATCAGTCGGAAAGTTGGAGTTTACACTTGGATATTCTCATTTTGAACAGTAAATTAATGCTTAAACTTGGAAATTCAGATAAACAAATCGAAATTTTATATTTTTGAAGTTGGAAATTCCTAGTTTGAAGTCAGAAAAAACAAAAATTTACCAACATACGCTTTTCTTCAACTTTCCCAAACTCAATTTGCCAACTGTCTAATCAAATTGAAATCAGATTTTATTCACCGAGAGTAGTATTTCACTTCATTTGAAAATTCTCAAGACGGAGTACTTTCTCGGTCACTGACCCATTCAGCTTCAAAGCGATAAATCAGTCTGCTTTGCATAACAAAGGGTAGGTATATCAGACCTCCATCATCCTCCCCCGAATTGCCATTTTTCTATATGGCTCGTTCATGAGATCGTCTCGGATGATTTTTCATTCTGAAAGGAATAAAAATGATGCTGAATGGCGATGGAACTATTGACGTATTTTCCATCTATCTGAATCCCAATACATGAAGTGTTTCCGAAATTGAAATAATGGATGGTGTTGGAAGAAGGAAAAACTATATGTATATGTTATGTGATACGAAATTAACGAATTTAGGTATGTTAGGGTTGCCACCAATTTCTGATTGTCAGGACGAGGTAGTTCAAAATGCAGGACAATCAATTGTAAATCGGGACAAATGGAATTTCAATGAAAATGTTGAAAAGTTCAACGAATTATAATAGTGCAAGCGTTCAACGTTTCAAAAAACATTAGAATATGCACATCAGAGAACAAAAAAGCACATTTAATCCCTCATTTGAGCAACTAAAGTGGCACTCTTAAGCTCTCAGGGATCAAAAGTTAATGCTGGCATTTTTTTCTCAATCGCCATAGTAACGCATTCATGGCACATCAGTTTCCGATGTCAACAATAATAATGATAACTACCCATCAGTCAGCAAATTTAGCATCATGAAACTACTGCTACGAGTAGGTACGAGAGTACTACTGTCTTTCATTAGTCTCTTGGTTAACCTCATCTAACAACCGCTTCATGTAGCTGGCGCGCTTTCATCGGATGTATTCTTGTCTAGAAGTGGGATTGTTACATGAATGATACAATAACTGGTAGAGGAGGTTAACATAATAATATGAGAATGTCATTGAGAGGGGGTGGACCAATGATACCTTTCAAATAACTGCTGTCTCCACTACGAAATACCCCTAATGCTCAAAGTGGAATGAAATGTTAAATGAATACAAAAAGCTCAAAGTCATTTCCACACAATGTTCATAAAATGAACAACAATGGTAGATTTCGGAAGAAAAATAACTAATTTCAGATCATTGAATTACATCCTCCCGCAATACTGATACAAGTGATTCTTTCCTGAATGCCTATTGGCTAAATCGAAATACTAAGTCATTCTGCCAAAAGAACAAATCTATCGATAGTTCTCCTAATTTGACTCTTATGATGTTGAACTTCGAAGACTGTTATTTTTTTGTATCAAATTCGGATTTTGAATTACGAGTTCAATAAAAATGCCTCAAAATGGAGCATAGTATTTCAAAAAATAACAATAAAACACCTGTCGAATCGGATGCGCGCTCGCAAAAAGTAGGTCACTTTATTATTTTTTCCCGTTCTTTTCAAATGTGAAAAAAGATCTACAAAATTTTGCCATACAGTGTTGTTTTTGAAATGAAATAAGTTTTCTGTTTTTCCTCAAGACGGACCTGGATTCTAATCCTGATTTTCATTTGGTTTTGATGGGTGATATGGTGGAATTTTTCTACCATGCCTGTATAGATTATACAAACTGGTTCAAAAGTTATGACCAGATGATGATTCTGTCAAAATCAAGATAACGTCCTGTATCTCAGTTATATAAGACGGTAGACAACCATTAAAGTGTCCTCTATCTACAGGTATCGTATGAACATACATTCAAATCTGAAATACCCTGTTTATGTTCCACAGTTTACATATTTCACTTCGAATTGAGTATAGGACCTTTCACTATATTGGGATTCTTGAGTCGAATATATAGCAGACTTATTGCTAATCCGTCAATGATGTTATATTATACGCAAATATTTTCTGATTGAAAATTTCATTACAAGAGACCTAATAGAGGAATGTGGATCGTTGGGGGACGAAGAAAATTCCAAGTTATAAATTCTCAACATATTGAATCTTAGGGATCTTTGACGAAAATATTTTCAAAGAACCTGACAAACGGGTCCTTAAGCGACTCAATAATGATTAATTACCTATTAATTATTATAATACAATCTCCCACTATTGAAAGATTCTTGGCATGGGGAAGACCACTGAGAGAAGAAATCCGTGCAAGCCTCTTTTAATCGACGAATCATGAGTAACGTTTGATGTACAATCAATATTATGAGTTGAAGTTGAAGGGAATCGAATCTAAATCGTTTTGAAATCAGCATATATCATTCGATATTTCAAACAGCCAAATATGATGGTGGAGCCGTGACGTATTAGTCCCAACCTGTAGCTATCTCTCTCTGATACCTCGTCATTCTGCAGTATTGCAGTGTGATTGGTCAGCTCAAGGACAATAGGCGTGTTGGGACTAAGACGTCGCACTAGTCACACCAATGAATTGACAAAATTTCAAATGGCGCAGGAATTGTGTGCTTTGAAATGGATATATTCTAATTTATTGTTTTCATCGTCTTAGCATGAATGACAAAATTCAAAATTAATTCGCTGGTAGTATTTTAGTATAGAGTACACGATAATGTCGTTTTAAAAAATCAGTGGTCTCCCCCATTCCAGTTCCATATTTGAAATACATCGTGAATCCCTCATTTATGTTAATCTTGTCAGTCAGTTTTGACATTGAGAGAAAACTGATATGATTTGTTCCACATCAATGACCAATATGGGCAATAAATTGTTGTGGTCTTGCTATTTTTATTGACTCAGAGACAGACCAAAGACACATATCTGATATCTATGTTTGACACTGCCACTATATGTGTGTGTTGTATTGTTGTAAGTGGGTAAGTATACCTGGTGACAACGAAATCTTTGGTGAGGGAGTCATGCATTCAGTTGTTCTTGATTTCGACATTTAGATCGAAAATATTGATCCTTAAAACCCATATTTTCCATGAAAAAGCAATCGAATATCACTTCCGTTTTTGAACTAGATCTCATAACTGAGATATGAACAGAGTTGCCCCACTTGCCAGCAGAAGCGAGACAGTACTGTTTCGGTCCACCAGGCCTCATCAGCCGCTCTCGGTCTGCTGACAACTGGGACAACTTCACACTTCTGGTATATCACCCACTTCGAAGATGCAATCTAGATGGCGATAACATGACTATATCATCATGTATTATCCTCCGACTTCCGTTTTTATCGGAAATAAACCCTGGTAAATTATTTAGAATGGAACCCTGTAGATATTCTTACGCCATTCGATAGATCAAAAAATCATCATTTCAATGACATATCATAAGTAGACAGTTGTTTTTGAAATGACGGCGCATTAGATTTTTTCTCTAAAATCAATTTAGTGACTCTGTGTCGCCATCGATTCAATTTTTGTCAATTCAATGAAATAGCAAATAAACGATGCATTTCGATTTAGCCAGGCCACGCTAGACACCCACAGACCGGTTTCGAGCTCTTTGACTCTCGTCAATCAATAGGCATTCAGGAAAGAATCACTTGTATCAGTAT